CCTTTTGCAATTGCAATTAGTAAATATTTTAAAATGATTTTTGAAAATAAGAACCTTTCTCCAAATTTTAGTCTAAAGAGGTTCTTATATAGATGGGGTCTAAATTGCAAATTTTAGCCTAACGGGTTCTTAAATCTTAGGTTCTTACTCGTCGGTTTTTACTGTGTGGCCAGAGTATTGGTAAAAAGGTCTATTAGTACCCTTATTTTATTTGGCTGTTGATAATAATAATGTTATTGAGGAGAATCACCTGTCTTTTTCCTTCAATTCCCAATTTATTTTTGTGCATGCTTCACAGCAGGTATGTCAATGCCAGAAATTTCAAACCCATTGAATTTACTGGGTGGCAACAAGCTACCTTAAACTTCAAGGACACTTTGGAGGATTCTTGCTGATCTCAGCAAGACTGTTCTTTGAAGTTCAGTGCCAACTCAATCCCAGAATTATTTATGTTTTTTCAGTTAAACCTCCAGGTCTTCAGAATAGACCCAGTGCTCCAAAACAAAAGGGGCAACTTTTACACCTTCATCTTCCACAACTAGTATCTTCATGCCAGATGAAGATACTAAGTCTTGTTGACTATACTTGTTGTTGATCTCTTGTTTGATGTCCACCCTTTTGTCACAAGGACATGCAATATCAGTGATGAGGCAATTTTTGTTCTGTTGGTCCACACACACGATGTCAAGGCGATTGTGATCCAGTTTCATTTCTGTTTATATACAGAAATCCGAAAGAAATTTGAAAGTCTTATTATCCTTAACATCACATTATTATTATCATTATTATTGTTGTGGTTGATGATGTTATTATAAGCATGGGTAGTAACGAGGTTCATACACATGTACAAGAATAAACTACCTTAACCACTATTTTGGGCACTAATTTGTGGTTATTGCTCACTTTTTTCAATGGCTGTGCTTTGCAGATTTTAGTAAAACAGATGAAGGTGCGAACAGATGGTTAAGGAGACCCTGCAGCAGCTAGATACCAGCTCCTTGATTAATGCTTCCAAACCCCAGAGTTTAAGGAGATCCACCTACAAGCCAACCACCCTTTAGTTCACATGCATGGCCATTGTCGTTGATTAGCAGTGGAGTTAGTTGTCACACCAGTACATCCTCCTCCACTGCAGCCTCCCTCCCCACATTCTCCTTTACTTTAAGGAGTGGCAGTGATGATGGACATAGGATGGAGAATGGATGGATTACTCTCTAGTTGTTGCCATTGTTTGATTAAATTTAATATCTTCACTTTGAATTCTGTTTTAATTTTTGCAAAACTTTTTTTCAGAAAAAATTGAAATGTTTTGAAATCACTCATTCTGAATATTCCAATCAACCTTGCAACTATACCTTGTATATTTCTTTGAATGAATTGTCAACATGCTCGAACACTTTTTAGAGTTAGGTTTATCAACTGACACAACTTTGCACGTTTTCCTGTCAGAATTATCAAACTTTGTTCCTGTATTTGAACTTTAAAATAAATGATGTTACGCGATTTAAAACCTGTTTTTCCCTTTTGCGTTGGGCAATTAGTTAAAGTGAATAAGACTGGGGCGGTGATTAAAATGGTAGAATGGTCGGAACTGTTAAAAATCATTTTCAGTATAATACTGCAACCCCACAAATAAGTCCCTGAAATGCAATGAAGTGCAATGCTGACCAGGAAACATATCGTGAGGTATCAATGGAGTGAAAAGGCGGTATCAGTTTTTTCAATATCATGCATGGAAATTGAAAGTATCGTCGAATTTATAATGGTAATTGAACTGAGTGGAGTGCAATTTGGTCTGAAATCATACGCGTGATTTCGAAATCGAAAGAGCGCGCAGCGCGAGTTCGATTTGAAATCACAAGTATGATTTCAGACCAAAATTGCACGACACGAAGTTCAATTACCACTTTATTACATCCATTTTGAAATCACTCTTTTTTTTTTAATCTGTATTTATTGGTCCAAAAGGCTGGTTCGTAAAAAGCGGAACCGGAAACGCGTTTAAATGTACGTGCCATGTCAACAAAACAAAATGACAGATGTCACTTTACAAAAAACCCATTGGAGCGCAAAAACTTCATTCGTGCAAATGTTCAAGCAGTTCTATAATCTTGTCACTGCAAAAATAGTCTTCTTCAAAGTTTAATCCTCGTCGTCTGACTCAATAATATAAGCCCTTCGCTTCTTCTGCGGTTGTGGCTGAGGCATCGCGTTTTCTTGGGAGAAAAAATTGAAAGTACAGTCGGTGTAATTCTGCGATGAAGCAGGGGTATTAGGGACCTTAAGCAAAGACGTTTTTGAGCGACGCACGTCAACCGGAAGTGAGGCCTTCTCCCTTTTTGAGTTTGACTAATAGTCGCGGGTCGCGGGTCCACAGTCGCGGTCGCGGGTCCAATGTCGCGGTCGCTGGTCCAATGTCGCGGCAGGAGAAAATGATTTGGGGTTCGAGGTAACTGAGTGAAAACGAGTGATATGAAAAAAATATAAAGGGAAAAAAATCGTTTTTATGCATGATACTCTACGGTAGCCAATTTACAGGTTACGGATGTTAGAGTCAACAAAATAATGTCTCAAGAAAAGACGTAAAAGAAAAAGCTGGCCGACTTTTGTGTTCACCGCAGGTTCATTTTGTTTTCTTTCTACCGGGCCCAGTTATGTATAAATTCAGCTTTGAATGTACTTATGCATAACAGTATCTGATAAAAAATGTTACCATGAGTTACCATTGTTTTCTTCTTGTCTATGAGTTGCCCACAAATGCCTAGGGGTGCATTCACTGAAAAATGTGCGATACACTTCATAGACTATAAATTATAAACGTTACAACAACTTAAAACCTTTTTTAAAAAAGTCAAACTCGGTCTCGACAAGCTACGAGTCTGTCGGTAGAAGAAACGACAACTGTTTCAATTTTAACAAATGTTTTCGGCAAAAATAAAGAAAACACTTGTTGAAAAACTTCCTGGTCGCAAACTCCCAAAATAAACTCTTTGCACAAGTAACTGGAAAGAGGAGGAGAGACGTTGGGCTTGAAGTGCCAGTAAAGTACATTCAAGCGGGTATTCAAGGCATGAATTTAATATAGAAACAAGTAATAATCCACAGCAAGTGGGGATAAAGCTCGATCTTTATCCTCTCTTGTCCACAGAAAGGAGTTTGTTCCCACTAACGATTGAAATCCGGAATCCAAGTTCTACCAATAGAGAATAGATCATAGTCTTTTGGTTCTACTGACAAAGACTTGAATCCAGTACCTGGAATCTGGAATTACTTACCTAATTTATTATCTTTTCTTAGCTATGGTGGAGTTGATAACTGACCTTTTTCAGTGTCAGGTTTACTTTCTTTTTCAGCTTCATGATATCGGGCGTTATTATTTCCTTACCTACTTACTCACCTAGTTACGATGCATGTTTTCAAGATTTGACTGAGACGCACATTGAATGGCTTCCTATTGTCAGGTTGTCCTGGTTGCCATTCAGGTGAAGAGGACAAGAAGGTATATTGAACACTCTGGGTTGCCGTCTCAGTTGTAAAAATAAAAGCATTAAGCGAAAACTTGCTTCGAGGAACAGACTCCTTTCTGTCGATTATTACTTGTTTCCATATTAAATTCATGCCTTGAATACCGCTTGAATTAAGTTTCATGCGCCTATTTACATTTTCTTTCAGTTTTGCCGAAAACATTTGTTAAATATAAGAGTTCTCGTTTCTTCTACCGGCAGACTCGTAGCTTTTTGAGCCCGAGTTCGCTTTTTTTAAAAAAGGGCTTTAAGTTGTTGTAACGTTTATAATCTGTAGTCTATGAAGTGTATCGCATATTTTTCAGTAAGTGAACCCCTAAGCATTTGTGAGCAATTCATAGACAAGAAGAAAGCAATGGTAACTTATGGTAACTTTTTTATCAGATACTGTTATGCATAAGTATATTCAAAGCTTAATTTACACATAACTGGGCCCGATAGAAAGAAAACAAAATGAACTTGCGGTGAACACAAAAGTGGGCCAGCTTTTTCTTTTAGGTCTTTCCTTGAGACATTATTTTGTTGACTCTGACATCCGTAACCTGTAAATTGGCTACCGTAAAGTATCGTGCATAAAAAAGATTTTTTCCCTTTATATTGTGTTCATGTCAGTCGTTTTCACTCAGCTGTTACCTCGAACCCCAAATCATTTTCCCCTGCCGCGACACTGGACCCGCGACCGCGACTTTGGATCCGCGACCCGCGACCTGCGACTATTAGTCAAACTCCCCTTTTTATATGCCTTGACGCTAACAAGCTTGTATTGCTGAGTTTCTTTTCTCTTTTAAAGACGATTTACCCGAGAGTTTCAACCAAACCACTGCCCAATGATGGAAAAAGTCCACTTCCGGTTGACGTCCGTCGCTCAAAAGCGCTGTTGCTTAAGCTCCCTATTACCAGCACATGTCAACGCTGCCATGCGGTACTGAAACTGTGAGGGACAACTTGGCGGAAATCCTGCAAAACCAGCAGCCTGAAAATCAGGATTCAGGAATTCCATGGCCTGGTGCATTTGACCTTGCTGTTGGGCGCGATTAATAGGAACCAGTGGTGCTCGTTGGTGTAGGACTGGCTGTTGGACTGTGTTTTGAATTGTTGGTGCCTTTGCAGCTGTACTGGTTTGATTGGAAACGTCGTTGGGACCGTTTTCATTTGGCACTACTTTAAATCCGCTAATTATGTGAGACAGGTCTTTCCGTTGATTCTCGTCTATTTCGTCGTAGTCGTCCAACGAAGATTTACGTGCATGGCCTGTTATTTCACAAATAACGTTGCGCGGCTGACAAGACTTTTTCAATTTGGACACCAACGTTTTTCTCATGCTGTGGTTGGTCAGTTTTTTGTTCGTCTTAAGACAGGAGGCCATGGATTTCATGATGTTGCCGATGGTATTTTCGCCCATTCTAATTTTGGTGTACCAGATATCATTTGATTTGGGACGATTTATAACGCTCAGGTACAGTGGCCCTTTATCTTTCATTCCGTCGGGTCGCTTGGATAACCAAAGCTTGAAAAGGCGCACTGGATCAGTTTTTCCGCCATCGGTGGAATACATACTGCTTGTGGTGTTGTTCTTCGCGATGTTGTTAGACCACCGCTTCGTGTTTTAGTGGGACCTTCACGGAATTCTACAACTTCGCTGCCGTCTTCTTGTTGTCTTATAACGAAGTCCTCGACGTAGGCGTCATAGTGCTCCTGGCGACCTCTAAATCCAAGTTGCTCCGTCAAGTTTTTGAAGTTAACATTGGTCAAGACTTTTCCGTTAAAATCACCAAGCTGACCTTTTAGCCAGAGGGAAGACTCTTCCTCCGAAGTGAGAGGCTGAGATTTGTTTGGTCTTTTCCCCTTTCCTTGTTGTCGCAGAGAAATTGCCTTCGCGTGGAGGATTTCTTGTGAGTTGTGAAACTCCCTCGATCGTACGATGCTCAGTGGATAATTCTTCCCCTTTAAATACCTTTCAATGGCACTCTGCATGATTTTAAGGCATTCCGGCTCGTAATCATCTCCGTTCCTCTTTTTTACTTCGGCGTAGAACTTGCTCAGGATGTTGTCAAGCTCTTCCGGCGCCATTGTTTCTATGTTTACATTTTCTAGATGACGAGACTGGCACCAACTTTTGAATACATTCATCCACTGTTTGGTTGAGCGGGAGGTATTTTTGTTGACGGCAACAGCCTTGAGCTCTTCAGTTTCTTCGCTTGAGATTTCAGGGAACCTGGTGGAATCTACATTTTGTACTTTCTGAGTTGGCTCTGGATTTGTCTCTTTGTTGCTGGACTCGGGATCGCACGCATCCGGAGCGGATGTGGAGGAAAAATTATCAAAATATTCGTCAAACTGGACACTGAATGTCGGAAACTCACCTAAAAGTACTTCTTCAGCCTCAAAGAGCTCACTTTCATCATTAAGAAACAGTAAGTAATTAAATTCGTCCATTTTTGCCTTTGTAAAAAGAAAGTTTTGGCAACAAAAAACTTGCACAAAGTTTGCCACACAATATTGCCTTTATTTTTTTTTGTTTTCCTGCAATTTGATTGGCTACTGTGAATGATCCTTGAAATCTGATTGGCTGTTTTGTTTAAGTGCTACTTTCTCATTGGTTGAAAAAAAGATGCGATTTAGAGCACAAAATAGTGCGATTCGTGAATAAATCACATCGCTCTGAGCCAATCAGATTGCAAGGATCACCTGTGATTTCCAAATGGATGTAATAAAGTACAATAAACGTGTTGCAATTTTCGCGTATCAGGGAGTTTTGCCACGATTTCAACATCGGTAATTTCATGAACCGTGGAATTCCAGTGGTGTTTGAGTCCCTGGTATTTCACGTACCATGGAATTTCGGGGAAGTGAAAACACTCGAAACTTCACGTATCGTGGAATTTCATCGCATTCTACGGAATAGAATCTTCACGTGTCGTGAACGTTTAGAGTATAAATTAGGATAACACAATCCGTAGCGTGGAATTTTAGTGAAAATGAAAGGCAAAAATTGTAGCGTTCATCAACGGCACTCCATGATTCTCGGCAAATCTAGAAAAATAAGGACGTTTACAGGTCTTGACACGCCGCGTTTCAATGACGTGTCCGGATATCGGATATTCCATGCCACGGAAAAAGTTCGATTCAGGAAATATACCGGTCCTGATACTCAATGTATACGCTGCGTGTCCGAAACCCGATATCTCTCCATATTTCCGTTTTTCTCAAGAATACGGGTTCGTATCGACTAATATCGGGACCATGACACAACTCATTTCACACAGTGGTTGATGGAGAACGGGGCATTTGTTCTCTTTTTTCGTCCCCACCCCGGGAGATTTGACAGCTCAAAAGTCCCCACCCCCGGGAATTTTCCTTCCAAGGCCCAAAAAATGCCAATGCCCGGGGGTCAGCCCGGGGAGGGGGGGGAGGCTGAGCGCAGGCGGAATTGACTCATGCATTAAATGTAATGAAAATTGTAAACGAAAATGTTGTTCAGCAAGGATTCTGTGTACAAAATGTAACGCTTCATACATTATCATACATTATCATACATCGTGTCATACATTATCGGTGTTCTAAACTGTTCATTGTAAAATAAAGCTTACTGTAAGACCCATTGTTGCTCATGGTGTAAAGGCTGATCGGCTGTTCCGAGTCCGTTGGAAAGATATTCTTGACGTGCATAATTCTTGTTGCCTATCGCTGCATCGAAGAAGATAATTTTGACTGTAAACTTTACGCGTTGCCTGATCCAGTCTTGTCGCTTTTGGAAGCGTCGGTAGTCGGTGTTCCCTCTCTTCATCGGCTTCGTTTACAATGTAATTGTAGTATTTTGCTGCTGCCTCTGTACTCGTTTGTGGTCGCTGTGTTGACGACATTGCCTTCGCTGTGCTAGGCGATGTTCTCTGCTTCAAGGTTGTCTTCTTCGATTCGCTCGCCGATGAATTTTAATCGACGTTCTCCAGAGGAGTTTCAATGGAAAATCTTCCTCGGCGAGGATTTTCAGGCACTTGCTGTGCTTGTAGTTATGTGTCATTTGCATGGCAAATTGTTCGTTATTCACCGATTGTAAATATTGTTTCACAGACAATGAATAAACACAACAGCCTCTCATGAATAATACATGAAAATGCGCCTTGGTCATCGGCGGCAAAGTCTATGTTACCTGGAAACGCAAAATGCTCCATGACGTCATTGGCGGACACCAAGCATATATTTATGATAAGATTTATTTATGGCGCATCGAATTTTGCAGCTGGTTAATTTTTTTAATTAAGACCACGTGTAGTTAGCAGACTAAGCGCGCGCTTCGCGCGCGACGACGATATAAAGTCGCTACGCTCGGAATAAAATCGTCCACTTAAATGTTGATAGTTCTATTCGTTGTAATTCGTGTTCCTACATCAACTACAGCTAAATCCACCGTATTGAACGCAATGTACGCGCGTGTAAGTGCTGCAATGCCCGCGGCCTGTACTGTAGTTGTATCGCTGGTGCCAACTGGCGCAAAATAACACTCGCCGATATTTAATTTGAAATATTTGTTTATACCAGCCCAGTAATGGATCTCTTTATTCATAATCTTAGCTGTGTCTTGATTTGTAAAGGCACTTTATTTTATTCATGTTCTGAATTTACAATTTTGTACATTTGAGCATTTTTGACCTTTGGATACAGCTTACTTGTAAACCTATAATTATTATTAAAAAAACAGACATTATCCAACCCTACCGTTCCATTCCTTTAACGTATTTACAAAGTTTTAGAAATTACATTGCAACCATTCTTAAAAGTTATCTTAGAGGTATGAGCATAATTTTATTAGGGTTATTGTGTGCTGTTCAGAGGTCAGTTTGTATGTCATGTTACATGTTGTATCGTCATGTTCTGTTGTTTTCCTTTACTAACTGTCGGCGACATTCTGTTGCCAGGGTTTGGTAACTTCGAGGCCGTTTTTCATTGTGAGGATTTGTTCCTCTGCTAGAGTAGTAACTGTTCTTTCACGGGTGTTAACTGTTGGAGCCACCCTATTTTCTATTGTGCTACTGCTCAAGCCACCATGTTATTAGCTTTCTCACGGATGTTAACTGTTGGAGCCACCCTATTTTCTATGGTGCTAGCTATTCAAGCCACCATGTTGTTAGCTTTTTCACGGGTGTTAACGGTTTGAGCCACCCTATGGTCTATGGTGCTACTGTTCAAGCCACCATTATTGTTAGTTCTTTCACGGGTGTTAACTGTTTGAGCCACCGTATTTTCTGCGGTGCTAACTGTTTAAGCCACCATGTTCTTAGCTTTTTCGAGGGTGCTAACTGTTTGAGCTATCCTATTTTCTATGGTGCTAACTGTTCAAGCCATCATGTTATTAGTCTTTCACCCGTGTTAACTGTTTGAGCCACCCTGTTTTGTACAGTGCTAACCGTTCAAGCCAACATTGTTGTTACTTTCTATGTTAGCTACCCCCTCTTTATTATGGTGCTACTTGTTAGAGCCACTATGTTATTAGCTTTTTCGCGGGTGTTAACTGTTTGAGCCACGCTATTTTCTATGGTGCTAACTGTTCAAGCCACCATGTTCTTAGCTTTTTAGCGGGTGTTAAACTGTTTGAGCCACCTTATTATCTATGGTGCTTACCAGTACTGTTCTAGCCATCATGTTATTAGTCTCTCATGGGTGTTAACTGTTTGAGCCACCCTGTTTTGTACGGTGCTAACTGTTCAAGCCACCTTTTTGTTACTTGTTATGTGAGCCACCCCCCTTTTTTATGGAGCTCACTGTTAGAGCCTCTGTGATATTCCTTCCCTCATGGGCGATCAAAATTTGGGGCACTGCAATACTATTTATTTCGTTGCAGGTATATAATTAGGTCCTCCCCATAAATTATTCTGTTTTAAGGCTTCATCCTCAGATTTTTTATAGCTGCATGTACCTGTAAACCAAAATAGCGGATTGCACGATTGAATAATAAAAAGTTGGCATAAAAGGTTAAAAATGAGAATGGTAATTCAAACGAAATAATATTTGCATGGGTTACCCTAGACACAAATACAAATGGGACTAATTATATATCACATACATATCCTGCAAACAAATCAAATATGCAGTACCAACAAGAGCAACATGAGTCTGCAACAACGAAGACCAAAGCCTCAAACTGAGGAACATAGCCTCAATAATATTATATAACAAAGAGAATGGAGCCTCAAAATCAAATATGAGAAGAAAGCCTCAATCTAAAATCCAAGAACAAAGTTTGAAAACAAAATATGAGGACAAAGCCTCAAAATAATTTATGAAGACAAAGCCCCAATATAAAATAGGAGGATGAAGCCTCAATGTAAAATATGAGGACAAAACCTCATAGATTAATTTTATCGCTGGTTTTTATTGGCTCCCCTGTTTTGATTTGTGTGGACATTATAGTCCCATGTTTGTTGTGAGGGGACAAAACACTTACGCTTCCCTCAGCTCACCACGTCACATCATTACTTTTAACTTTGTTGTTCTTTTCGAGGAATTTACTGTTAATTCAGTTTGTTTAGGAAATCCTGATGGATTCATTGATTGTTTATGCATTTTTCATTAATGGTAGCACATTCTAGCCTGTTTACAGAAGTTTTTTATAGTTTTTCATTTCATTGCAGGTGCTAAGGTATACATAGGCAGTTCCCTTTTACGGACACATTTTCAATGAAGCCAGTCTTGGGCAGAGTACGCTCTTGAGAGAGTCAATACACGTAGCTCTGAATTCTCAGTATTTCCTCAATTCAATTCAACATAGTTGTACATGTCCTGCTGATCAGTTCTCCAGGAGTTGCATCTACAGTAATAGTGCTTGGCTTGGCTTCCCTTAGCATATGGCATCGACAGCTGATTAGGCAGCACAGGCCACCTTGGCTTGCTGGATATTGATACACTGCGGTTGGGTATGATCTGTCTTGTTTGTGTTATCTTGCTTGTCATCTCTGGGCTACATCACAGTGTCACATTATAGTGTGCGGAGGTGTATAGTACGCCATATGGCACTCACAATGTAGACAGGTGGACCGTAACGTGGTCATATATAGAATTCTCACCGCATGAGTCTGGGCCATCCGGCCCATCTTATTACATAAAATTATTCACTTAATTCAGCTGTTAGTTTCCTAGGTGATTTCGGCTTGGGCAATAAGTTTACACTTTCAAAATGACTGTGTGAGCAGGGGCCATACAGCCATCTCGCAGATTTTCATTTTTATCCGTTACATCAATGAGTGATTCAGAATTTTTATTAGTATATATCCACGGTGGCTGTGTGAGCAGGGGCCATACAGCCATCCCACAGATTTCATTTTAATCAGTTACTATACATCAGTGAGCTATTTCAAACTTTGGTAAGACTAATTCTGTGTGACTGTGTGTGCAAGGGCAATACAGCCATCCCACAAATTTCATTTTAATCACTTACATGG